ATTAGTAAAGTAGCGGTAAAAATTGGGAAAACTGACCCTTTTGTTGATAGGATAGTAAGACCCGTGCGAAGCGGGGGCGGGTAACTAGTTTTTAATAATATAAGTAAGATTAGAAAGATAGTTATTGAAATAAAAATCTATGAGGAACTAACTATTTCAATAAACGTAGTTAATGCAAAGCTATAAAATAAATGTGGTAAATGCACCAATCATCGTCCGTACAGAATCCTGTTGGATCGGTAAACGATTTTACTTGTTGCTATTTCAAGCTTTTGTTAATCAAGTCTTGGTATGCGAAATGATGAGGAAAATGTATCTTAGTCATACGTTACAAACTTTGAGGAATTTCGTATGTTTATAATTCTGGTTTTCACCTGTTCTTGTTAATATATCGATATAAATTAATAGTTTGGCTGGAAGGAAAATATGGTTCGTTTCGCGTCGTGGCTGTGTGTTGTGTACTTTACCCTATTAGTACGTTATTTAATTTAGTTTTTTTTTTCAGTCAGATGATAATGTTGTTATGGTTCCGAATATAGCATTGTTTCATGTCTTTTTTTATGTAATAGGTCGGCAAACGAGCAGACGGATTACCTGATGGTAAGCAATCTGCGTCGCCCATGGACACCCGCAACGGAGGAGTTACGAGTGCGTTGCCGACCGTTTAGGGATTAGGGATTTGGAGATTTAGGGATTGAGGAGGGATTGGGGTCGGGGAAAGATTGGGCCTCCGGTAACCTCACTCACACGGCGAAACTCAACGCTGTGATTGTTTCACGCCGGTCTTCTGTGAGGCCGTGGTATCACTCCGGTCGAGCCGACCCATTCGTGCCGAAGCATGGCTCTCCCACACAATGTCGATTATTTTTTAATTAATTCAGGTTTGTTGATTGTTCTTTTCATTTCATTCACACTTTTGAACAAACAAATAGTTTCACTAAGAAGACTGATCTACATACTGTCATTTTTTATTTTTAATCTTTTGTTTGACTTTCTAAAGTGCCTGTAAGCGTCTAAGGGCTGATTTTTCAATAGTCAGATAAATGTTATCTGAGGAATAAAACTGTTGCTGTCACTGTCTTATCCAAACATTCTGACGCGACAGCATCATAATTATTCCGCCTAAAACTTTTATCTAACCATTAAAAAATCAGCCCTAATTGAAATAAATCAATTTATACATTATCTTTATAATTACGAAAGCAACTTTATTGATAACTAGATAGCTATCAAGCTGTTTCTTTTCATCTCGTATGTTTTATCACCCGTGCCTTGGACTGGAAGTAAAGCTCGCTATTTGTGTGGGACTGATTTTATAACGCTACTCGTAAAACTAGTTTTTACTCATAATAAACAGTTGTATTTAAATAGTTCATTGATGCAGTCTGTGTTTCCGATCTTTTTTTTCTAAGCTTGGAGTAGATTTGCTTTTTGACTTATTTTGTACTAGCTTTTGTCCGGGACTCCGTTCGCGTGGAGTAGTCACTTCTGCAGATTTTTGGTATTAAAACTATCCTATGTCCTTTCTCGAGTTCTAAACTATGTCTGTACCAAATTTAACAAATCGGTTCAGTAGTTAAGGCGTGAAGAAAAGACAGACGGACAGACAGACAAAGTTACTTTCGCATTTATATTATTAGTATAGATATAGATATGACCTGCTGTCTGACAAGTCATGAATGCACTTCATACACTGTCATACACTTAAACTTACCGGCGTCATACAAATCGAAAATGCTAGGTATATTTTTGAGTACCGGGGTTGTGGGGTAAGCGCAATGAGGCACCGCGACCTCGGCTAAAACAGGAGAAGGAACGGCGGGATTTTTAGTCAGTAAGAGTCTGACACTCTCGCCTTATCCTGGGCGGGAGAATTCATTTGATGATTTTGAAAAAAGTTAGGTATATTTTTGAGTGACGAAATATGCAGGTTTTTATTGACTAAAAACAACTCCGTTTTTCTCCTGCATCAGGCCAGGACGTTGTATATTATGGCGCTTAACTGCTTGAGTCAGGATTCGAGTAGTGTTAAAAAGCTCATCCAGGACTTGGAACGAGCTGAGGGATTACCTGATGCAACACGTAAGCAATTGGCGTCACTCATGGGCATCCGCAAAACCAGAGGAGTTGGAATTGCGTTGCCCTGGTTTTAGGGATAAATCATCTCGGTTTAGGGGTTGGAGGAGTATTGTATTACTTAGCTCAAGCCAGTCCTACGTGCTCAAGCATGGCTTTTGGCCTCCCACTTGATTTTCAATCTATTAGAGAATAGGGTAGTTTCCAACTAGTAAAATTCAATACTTTTATCTAAATGTCAAAAACGATCATTTTCTATTAATCTCGTATGGAGTAGCACGTTGTGACGTCATAATATTTTAACGTCAAACAGTATACTTATTTCTCTTGATTTAACAATAAAAATACGAATATCGAGTATATCGTAAAATAATGAATGAAGGTATGATTGTTTTTCAGTATTCTTATACATATACGTTGAAATATATACTTTTTTTACTGAAGAAGCAAGCCAAATTTCTTATTATTAATTACCTCTTATAAAATGACAAAAAACAGTCTCCTAGTATTATAAAATTATGTATATACCCCGAGCGTTTAACGCTCTTGTCTTAAACGCTTTATAGCCTCGGCCTCAGCACTCAGCAAGCTTAGCGCTTATTTTAACAACACTATAACATTTGTCACAGTCACACGAATACAAATATCCGCGGTTTTAACCGTAATAATATACCGCAATCTTGGCTTGGAAATGGATTGCACCAGTGTTTTTGGCAGTAAGCGTGTAGCACTCTCCCTAGTGGTTATGGTGACTTCCTCTCGTCAAGAACCATATATCATACAAATGTTTCATCCGGGCGTATCGTATCAGTCTACTATGTGGGAGAGCCATGCTTCAGCACGGATAGGCCAGTTCGACCGGAGTGATACCACGGCCTCACAGAAAGAAGCAAAAACGGCGTGTTGTGTGTCGCTGTGTGAATTAAGTTACCGGAAGCCCAATCCTTCCCCCCATTTTCTATCCTTAAATCCCATATAGATCCCCTATCATCCAACCGATAGCTAGCTTAAAGTCCCTTTATCATCAGAGATACGTCTAGCTTACGCACTTTCGACTTCTGCCGAAACAAAAGTTATGCTAAATATTTTTCGAGTACTATCGATTCTATCTTCCCCCACTGGCGGAAAATCTTCAACATTTGGTAAATCCTTACGATGCCTGAGTAACTGCATATCGTTGATCGTTGATCTCCGGCCACCGTGCCACACACACAGCGGTCACAGCGCCGATCTGCAGTTGGCGAGTAAGGGTAGCTCGCCGCCCGACCAGAGCCAGACCCGAGCTTACGGCGCGTAGCGAACACCACAGACGGGACCCTACAGGGCCGATGTTCAGCCTGGTTAGCGGGGCTAACGCAATTCACGCCGCCTCGGCCTAAACGGGGGTTTTTAGTCAGTAACAGTCTGACACTTCCTCTCGCTCTACCCTGGGCGAGAAAAGTGATTTGATGATTTTACCTCACAAAAAAACCTATATTCGTATACATAGCCTATCGATTGTACCTATCAGGAATCGGTCTACACTGATGATATCTTGACGAATAATTATTAACCTTGTTATATCAAGGTTCTCATCCATATTTGTAAACTTGAATGACTTATTCAGTATTGTCGAACAATATAAAAACAATAAGCCTATAGGTACATTTGTAGTTAATGATTGTGTTCGTAAGTAGATAGTATCTCTTGCTACTCGTGTTACAGTTTATACAGGGTGTAAAAAGACACTTAACGAAGCCGTTAACTACGCATACTGCAGTTCTAAGTAGCTTTACGCTAAAATTATCACTGGGAAACGACTTTTATTTTTAGGTATCAAAAAAAAAAAAATATTTTTATTGCGCACAATGTAAAGCAAACGGGCTTCGTGTCATTGTGTGCGTAGGTTCACATTTTAGCATTAAAACGCTGTGATAAGTACGTAGGGCGACGTTTTACTTCGCAACAACAAAATAATTCTGTAAAATAAAATTCCTACTGAGATGCACGATGTTTTTTGTGCGGGTCTGCATTTATTTATTACGTACATTACTGTTCGTAACTTCAAATGCGTAATTTATTTAGAAAAATCGAAAATTCAGGTAATGTTTGTTTCGAAAAAAGTTTTGTAATAATATGTACTTAGTAAGAATTCGATTGCGCAAAAAAATATTTAAGAATGCATCTTTGACCTTCAATATCTGGAGAACACGTGGAGTCTCAGCTATGGTCTTAAAGAATAAAAAAGAAGGCTTTCGGCTTCGTTGGTTTATATGTTAGGTGTATCATGCCTGTCTACGGTGAAAAAATCCCGAAAAAAGATCTAGGTAGTACTAAATCCTTTATAGATGGGCCCCCCAACAGAGCCGATGTTCAGCCGGGATTACGACGCCTAAGCTCGAAACAGGAGAAGGAACGGGATAGTTCTTTAGTCAGACACTCCTTATCCCTTCACCTTGGACAGGAGAGCTCATTTATTGATTTTCCCCCATTATAAAAGTTACTAGATAATCCGAGAATATATTATTAGGCTGCTTAAACTTCATATTAGGTATCATTGCAGAAATATCTATCCTACTTATAAATGCATAAGCATTGATGTGTCGTTCAGACAAAAAGTACTGAAAGGGCGTGAATTATTTTTTTCTCAGAGATAGATAATTCTCTGGATTATTAAAATGGTATTTTTGCCTTGGAACTCCGAGAGAAGCCACTGGCAGAAATTAGTATCTGCGGTATTTAATGTTTTTAATTGCTTAAATCGATAGGTGCATTATAGTAAAGCGAAATAATCTAAAAAAGGTTTCTGTCGCATACGCATTATAAGTTTTAACATCAGAAACTACAGATTTGTTAAAGAATCCAATAGAATCCTGCTCCGAAACGATCCTAAAATAACTCCAGTTTTTATTCTTTGATTATATTTTGTTTGTTTCCATTTCCAGAGGTTTTGGGGTCCTCAAATTGACCCTCGACTGGCGCAGTACCTCACTAACTTCCTGTTCGGATATGGACCGAATAAGTCGCCATCTTGCGACTTCAACAGATTCGCTGAACTGTACGTGTATAATGTTAGAGGTAAGATTAGAAATACATATTTTACTAGCTACTCTCGCCCGTTTTCACTCGCTGCTCGGCTTCTAAAGATCGTAGCGTGATTTTGTATAGCCTATACATATAGCGTTTCTTGATAAATGGACGAACAAAAACACATGGAGTTTCTTGCTCGTTCTTCTCCATTCGAAACTACAATTTGGAATGAGCACCTAGCTTCACTTACGAACAGACTGACAGACTACTTCCCTATTTTGACGTTTCAAAAGTACCTATTTAAAGTTTAGTTGGAATAAATGATTTTGACTTTTACTTTGACAGAAAGAATTGTTTAATTCGAATCAGTAGTTCCGGAGGTTACCGCATTCAAACAAACAAACTCTACAGCTTTATGATATTAGTATAGATATCTAGTAATCACAGCTCAGGTAAAGAGTAAAATTAAAAAAGGTTTATGTTTTTATTTTTATCAGTGTTAGCACGTAGTTAAAATTGAGGGCCATTTTTGGTACAATCGAGCCATTTTGTTGGTCTAGAAAGACCTAGAAAGAGGTAGGTTTGTGCAATCACTGTAGCTGTTTAGAATTTTGACTTTCCAGTACTATCTTGAATGTAATCATTCAACACTTAATTTTATTTAGATTTTTACGACGTCAGAATATTTTTGTCTAGTATCTACTCGTAACTACATGAGACATACCAAGTAACATACCAGTAACATTATGATAATTAAGTAGATTACGCTCCAATTTTATGCAAAATTCATAGAAAAATATCATTAATGACATTTAATACTTTTATTGATTTTGACTAGTTGAAATCAACCAGATAATAGTGTGAAGAATTGTATAGTTTAGTGTCCTTTACCTTGAGTTATAAATTCGTCTGTTGCAGGTACCTCGGAGGAGCGTATGATGGTGGCATACAACAGTCTTGGTATGGACTTCAACGATACTATTGAGCTGCCCTACCAACTCTTGAGAGAGGTATGAAAATGTCAAACAGATATTGGATGTTTTACTGTTTAGGATGATCGTCTTCATCTCCATCCTTTAAGTGCCCACTGCTGAGCAAAGGCCTCTTCGCATACGAAGGGAGTTTAATTAATCCAACACTTGCTCCAGGACGTATTTGCAATGAAACCATATAAATTATGCGTAAAAATGATTCAATATTTCTTATCTTACCAACTAAATAATGTATCAAAGAATCTTTATGTGACACTGATTTTAAAAGAGTAACCATGGAGTTTCTTGCTCGTTCTTCTCCATCGGAATCTACACTTTGAAACGAGCGAATAGCTTCACTAAGAGGACTGATCGACAGACTGACACTTTATACCTTTAAAATTTTGTTTGACGTTCAAAAGTGCCTGTATGGGTCTAATTGAAATAAATGATTTTGACTTTGACTTACGGGCTGTTATAAAAAAAATTACGGTTTTTAATTGTCATGTACACTTCTAAACTATTCAAGACTAATTTGACGTTTTGTTGTACCGTGACAGCGTCGCTAACACTTGCCACGCGAAAATTTTAAAGAATTGATTGATGATTATTACTTTTTACTTCGAAAACCTAGACGCTCATATGTCAATGGCTGACTGGCAGAGAATGCCAAAAGTCCCTCTTATGTACCTTTGTTTATTAAGTGTGTAGAAGAAGTACAAATAACTTAATAATACCGAAAAACTGTTTTGTTTTTTTACAGTATTGTGAAAGCATAGCCTCGACCTACATAAAGGTATTGAAATCCGCGTCCACAAGTCGAGCTACGACGTGGATCATCAAGGGGTTCAGGGGCAGGGCGTCGCACGTCCAGGCGCTGGGGGAGGCCATCGCGGCTAGCGTCGAGGGGGACGCTGACGTCACGCTCAACGCTTGCACCTCCAACCAGCTTAATAAATGGTAAGCTGTTTTTTGCTGATTTTAAACGTTGTCTCATTCCAATACCACATTTCCTAGGATACGATGGAGCATACGGTAGCGGTGTGCCCTGCAGTCCCTTCAGGCCGTACGTAGGGAATGGAACACAAAAGCCTCTTTCTGCAAAGCATCATGCTCGCGGAGGATGCAGAGCGCGTGATGGAACTGTTCCTTACGTCCCAGCTGCCGCAGAGGCTACCATCTGGACGTCGGGGGGTCGAGCGATGTTTTCCGGTCACCGTAAGCGCGGGTCGGCGAACGGTGATCAAGGGTAGCTCGCCGCCCGACCAGAACCAGACCCGAGCGTACGGTGTTTAAAACGTTCCACGCGCCCCTCAAAGACCACCAGACCACCAGCGGACCACCAAAGACGGGGCCCTATAAGGCTGGTGTTTAGCTGGAGTTGCGGGGCAAGGGCTTTATAGAAAATGTTTTTCTTTTATGAGAGGGAAATTATACAATGACTAATTTCGCCCAGGGTGAGGCGAGAGGGAGTGTCAGACTCTTACTGACTGACCCCCCCCCCTCCCGGTTTAGTCACCCTGGGCGAGATTAGTCATTGTATAATTTCCCTCTCATAAAAGAAAAACAATACCTCTATGCTTTTTTTTTGTGAGGGGAGAATCATCAAATGACTTCTCCCGCCCTAGGCCGGGCAGGAGGGAGTGTCAGACTCTTACTGACTAAAAACCCCCCTGTTCCTTCTCCTGCTCTGGGCCGAGGTCGCGGTGCCTCATTGAGCTTACCCCGCAACCCCGGCTGAACATCAGCCCTTTAGAGCCCCGTCATTTACTCCTATGCTGTGGTGCGTTTATAGTGTACGGTGCAGTGTCCCTTACATAATGTATCATAGTATGCTTATACTAGATTATTGAATATTATATTTTGTATTGCAGGCTTCAGTTAAACACGTTGCTGCGTCAGATGACGGAGGCAGTGTTCGTGAACCTGTACGGCATTAACAAGAAGACGGGAGACGAGAGCCCCGGCCCTGTAGCGAGGGCGGAGCCCTGCCTTATGCCGTTGCCTATAGGTAATTTTATTCAACAATAAAAATCCAAATGATACATACTATAGAAATTAATAAATCCCGCAACAATAGTGGAGTTACAAGTGCGTTGTCGGCTTTTTTGGTTTTGTTTTTTTTATGGAATAGGTCGGCAAACGAGTAGATGGATTACCTGATGGTAAGTAATCAGCGCCGCCCATGGACAACCGCAACGGAGGAGTAACGAGTGCGTTGCCGACCTTTTAGGGATTAGGGTTTTGGAGATTAAGGGGTTGGGAGGGATCGGGGGAGGGGAAGGATTGGGCCGGATTTATGTGATGCGCTGGCGAACAGGCAGACAGATTAGCTTATGGTAAGCAATCGGCGTCGCCAGCAGTAGAGGTGTTGCAAGTACGTACCCGGCATTATGGGTATAAGGGGTTTTTGGGGAATCAAGGAATGGGGAGGAGATGCTTCGGCACGAATGGGTCGGCTCGACCGGAGCGATACCACGATATTACCTTCGGCCCAGAGCAGGAGAAGGAACAGGGGGGTTTTTAGTCAGTAAGAATCTGACACTCTCCCGCCCAGCCGTGGGCGGGAAAAGCCATTTGATGATTTTCCCCTTAAAAAAAACCACGGTGTCACAGAAAACCGTCGTGAAACACTCACAGCGTTGTGTTTCGCGATTCTTAATGCGATTACCGGAGACCCAATCCTTTCCCAATCTCTATAATAATCGCATGTTAAATAGAAAAAAGGCCTAACTCAAAAATGAGGATATTCCAAAATTGAACCTTATTATTGAAGCATAATTTTTAAGATTGAAATACACTATTTTTTGGGTTAGGTCTCTTTTCTGTTTAACATGATGTCGAATATCCTAATCCCACCAGTAACCCGTAACTATTGTGGTGTTGCGAGTGTAAAAGGTCGGCAAAACTCTTTACCACCAGGTATCTGTTCGTTGTCTGTTGCCGACATAAAAAACCCATCCGTATCTTCTAGGTTTAGACTCGATGCCGGACTACCCAGCCTTCATAGACCTGTCTCACATCGTATGGCTAAACTCCCACATCCCGCAGAAGCATCAGGACAAATGGAGATTCCTTTTCTCCTCCCACATACATGGCGAGTCCTTCTCCACTATGACAGGTAAGAGAAATCAGTTCATACCTTCATTAATTCATCATAGTTGCTGCAACCAAGCGAACAAGCACCGTTTAAGCACAGCGGCGTTTAAGCACCTATTATTCTTCTATTATGTCTGTCAACTATGTTAGGATTAAGATCAAGTATTAGCAAAAATTCTATAGAATTATATATTAAATGTCGTTATTATTTGATCACCGTTCGAAACAGTTTTTTTGTGATCCACAAATTTTTGTCCCTATTTGTTGGTCTAGTATCATAACCTATCTTTTTCAAATGTCTTTGGATCTTTATTGTATCAAGTATTAGCATAAGTTTCATTTGGAGATTTTAAAGGCAGATCGGTTATTATATCGGCCTTAGTAAGAGCTGTTGAAAGTCCAACTATCTCGCTATCAAAGGGTCACTTTGTCCTAATCTTTCCCTCTACTTTTCTAATATTTTCTTTGATAGGAACCTTCTCCTGACAATAACAAACACAACAAAAAAAGAATTAGCAAAATTGGTCCAGGCGTTGTTGAGTTATGCGCTTACCAACACATTTTGCGATCCATTGTTATATATAAGAAGATAGTGTTTTTACAGTACAATAAAAGATGAAGGTGAAGGAACAATAATATACAAACAATATATCTCAAATTAATATTTACGACCAAACGAAGGTAACACGAAATAGTTTCGAGCCACGAGATCTTATAACCAATAAATAATGTTAACTATCTACAAATTGAGAACTTTGAATTACGTAATTGATTTCACTATGACAGTAATCGAAATTTTGTCAAAACTACAATTAAACACAATTTCAGGCCGGATCCAAGACCAGGGTGCATCTCTCCTGATAATAGAAGACAACTCGGGCTACATCTTCGGGGGCTACGCCCCAGCTTCATGGTCCCTCGGCCCCAACTTCGTGGGCAATGAGGAGTCGTTCCTGTTTACTTTAGCCCCAAAGATGCGTGTATACCCAGCCACGACTTATAACAACCATTACCAGTACATCAATCACCATACTAAAACACTGCCTAATGGATTGGTGAGTAATTTATATTTCTAACTAGCTTTTGCCCGCGACTCCGTTCACGTGGAATAGTGACTTCCTGCAGAAATTTGGTTTAAAAACTATCCTAAGTCCTTTCTCGAGTTCCCAACTATGTCTCTACTAAAGTTCACAGAAATCGGTTCGGTAGTTTAGGCGTGAAGAAAAGGCAGAAGTTTGGATCGTCTATCGTCTTAATCAATTAGTCACGATAGTTTTTTCCACTGCACGGTCGGGACGGTGGCTGGACAACTGGCTGCCGCGCAACGTGTCGCGGTTTCGATTCCCGCACAGAACAACTCTTTGTGTGATCCACAAATTGTTGTTTCGGGTTTGGGTGTGATGTGTATGTGAAATTGTATGTTTGTAAACGCGCCCGACACAGGAGAAACTCCTAGTGTGGGGCATTCTTTTCAAAAAAGAAGAAGATATTTATTTATTCAATACTAGCTATTCCCGCGCGGTTTCACTCGCTGCTCAGCTCCATTAGATTGTAGCATGATGTTTTATAGCCTATAGCACTCAGGAACATTGTAGCTATCTATCACTGAAATACTTTTGGAAATCCGATCAGCGGTTCCAAAGATTACTCCCTACATACAAACTTACAAACATTAAATTTTACCTCTTTATAATATTAGTATAGATGATGTCATTATATCAGTAACGGAAACTAAGTAACATAAGTAAAATGTCGAAAAATGTTATATTTTTTTGTAATTATTTGCGGTACCCAAAAATGCCTTGGAACATCTTTTAATTATAGACCACCTGTGTACACTACATATAGAAGCAATAAATACATTTGATTTAAATCTATTCAAATTTTCATAAAAGTTTTTTTTTAAAACATTGCCCCACACTATGATTTTCTCCTGTGAAGACACAAGAGAACAGTGCGGTTACAAACATACAATTTTACATACACATCACACCCAGACCCGGAACAACCATTTGTGGGTCACAGTATCACACAAAGAGTTGTTCCGTGTTGGAATCGCCAGTTGCCCAGCCACCGCACCAACCGTGCAGTCAAGTAATAGATTGCAAGTTGCAATTTTTTTCTTCATTTCCAGTTAATGGGTGGGCAATTTCACTTTGGTGCTATATGGGTGAATGGCGATCCGTTCGGCGAGGGCTCGTCGGCGGAGTCTTGCAGTACCTACAAAGGGTACAAGCGGCTCAGCAAGGAACCCAACTTCCGTATCAAAAGCTTAGAGGTGTGGGGGGTCGGAGACAAGCCACTGTCTATGAAGGAATCTGTAAGTATTATTATTTTAAATTCATAAAATAGATAACTGATTTTAGCTCCTATACCTTGGTAATAGAAACCAATTTGTGATTTCTGCATCAATTAATGAAAAATTTTGTTGTGAAGAACTGACACATGTTGTGCAATTATTTTGTACTAGCTTCCACCCGAGGCTTTGCCCGCGTGTTATGTTGATAAAATGTAGCCTACGTGATAATCCAGTCCACCCTATCTACATACCAAACTTCGACTAAATTGGTCCAGCAGTTTTTGCGGAAAGAATAAAAAACATACATCCTTACGTTCTCACAAACTTTCACATTTATTATATTAGTAGGAAAGTAGTATTAGTAGGATTAATTTCAAAATTAACCAATGTAGAGGGTAGTACAGACCAAAACATTTTGTTTTTACAATTGTACCCCTTTAACTTTGTGAATTAAAATCAATTTAACAATTTCTACATCATACAAAGAACAATTTTTGTGTGCTTATAAAAATTGGTTGTACGCAAAATGTGTTTGTAATACTTTGTAATAATGTGCATAACTCAACAACGCCTGGACCAATTTTGCTAATTATTTTTTGTTGCGTTTTTTATAGTCACGAGAGATTTTAACAAAAGTAGAAAGGAAATCGGAAAATAGCGACCCTTTCATAGTTCGTTCTTATAACGAAATCTAAAGAACTTTCTTCTAGAATCTTCTAGAATATTTCTAACCCATCCTAATCCTAATCCTATCCTTATTCCTACACAGCTGGTGACCACGAAGAGCAGTAAAAGTGTTCTGGACCCACATCAACATGATAAAGCTTTCCTTGAGATTTGTGGCAAATATCCCATTAAAAACATTGGATGTTATGAATTAAACATGTTGTGATGTCAGAAAGTTACAGTACGACTTCAGAAGTCAGAAGTTAAGTCTGATTAATGTTGTATATAATGTATATAATATAGATGATTTTTTCAAACTCAAGAGCAGTTTGATTACACGGATTCCGACGTCAGAATGTCAGAAGTCAGATGTTAGTTGCAGTATTATGTTTTAAAGTTGATTTTTTTACTGAAAATACTTTCAAAGGTATGAATAAACTTAAAAAAGGTAAAGGTAATTCAATGGTGTATATGTAGGTGTAGATATCAGCTACCTATAATAATTATTTAGTTATTATTTCGAGCAGTATTGTTAATTATATATTTAATTGAGTTCGTTTTTTATTGGTTTTAGTATAGTTTTAGTACAGATTTGGTAACACATATTACAACTTTCCATTATTCCCTGAAATTATTAAAATAAATGCTTGTTATAAGCTTTTTACATCGAATCAAATTAGTAGCAAATTGTAATCTCAGTTAATATATTGAAAAGGATAGTTACTTACGATGTTGAAAAATAAGATCAGATGAAAATTAATATTATTATTTTTGTAATTTATTTTCAGGATGAAAGGGATCTAAGTGTCCTGGACGTGAATCCTGAAGCCAAGGCTATCCTGGACATGGCGGGTCGCACGAGACACAGCGAAGGGCTCCGCGAACCACCCCCCTTATAATGTAAATACCTAGACTAGATACTATCTCTTAATAGCCATAATTAACTCCTATAAAGTCTTATATAATGTGTTAGGTTAAATGAGGAACATATTCGATTCTGGTGCTCAAATAAGAAGAGAAGAAGAAGAAGAAGAAGAAACTGTTTCCTTCTCCATGCAAAATGATCAAGCAGCTGTTGCAATTTCTACGGGGAAAAAATATATTTTTGTGATTTGGATTTTGGTTCCATGGAGAAAGTTTTTGTAATTGGGTAGTTTCCTAGGTCAAAACTAAATTAATTCAACGTGAAAAATAACTATACTTTTATTCATAGATCGGTTGATACACTAAATTTGAAATATTAAGCTAATTTTTAAGAAATAAGTACGCTATTTGACTCAAAAATACTATGACGTCAAAACTCGGTTTTTCATACAAATTTCATACAAAAGTATCGTTTTTGAGATTTGGATATGAAAATATATGGAAATGAAATACGTTTCTAATTAGTCAAATTCTAAAGTATTGAATTTGACTAATTAGAAACTTACGTATTTAGCACCAAAATCGACTCCTTGTATATGTCCCTCATTTACGTAAAACATTGTATAATAAACTTTTGATTTCCTTATGTCAGTTCCGTATAAAAACTTTTTTGTTAGATTCGGTTTTCGTCTTTATGTAAATTAGGTTTTTCCATAGATTTGTCCTTCTCTTTTGCATAGATTTGTCCTCCTGTTTTGAGTTAATGCGAAATCTAGGCGATTAAGACTTTATAGGAAAAATCAACTGATATAATACATAATATGAAAATTTAAAGTTTATACCAAAATTAGTTGTATGTCAGTCATTATGTGTATGAAATAAAATTTATATGTACCGTGTTGTCAATAATACGTCTATGGTAGCTGTGCTAACTATTATATGTACTTATATCTTTGATTAATTTTATATATGCAATAATCTAACTATGTAGTCACACAAAATTACACCTTAATTCTATTAGGGATTAAGGTATAATTTCAAACAGTATTATTGAAGTGCCATACAATGATATAGCATATGTGTATTATCAAAATTTAAATTTGCAAAAAGAACATCAGTTTTTGAAAGTTTTAAAAATAATTTATTATTTAACTATAATTCTATAAAAACCTTGTTTATTAAAAAATAGATTTATTTTTTTCGATATTTTTTCATAATGGATTCAGATTGTATTACTGCATATGATAATAAATCTTATTCAAATTGAAATAAGAACTATTATCGTATAATTAGCTACCCTCGATGTTCTATTGACAATGCTTTGGGCGTTATTAATATACATTATGTCGAGGTATAGAAAAAAGTATTTAATTGTTAAAAGAACCTTTTTAAAATATGTCTCGTTCCTACCATTTCGAATTTTGGTACCGATTTAACAAAAATATACACTGTAGCGTTTGTAGCTTAAAAGCTATTATTTTTATATACACACATACATAATAAATATGATGTATTTATATACAAAAGTACATACAAATTTCGCACACGTTACATCTAAGAATAGGTGTCATTGATAATTTGTGTTTTCTTTTTTGGAGATTAAAAATTTCACGTAGCGAAAATCCGTTTTATCTTATAGAAAAATATATTATGACGAAAATAGGTTATAACATAAAAAATGTATTCCTCAAACAATTTCGTTGGTTGTAAAAAAAAGAATCGATTTTTTCTTATTAAAAAATAATAAATTTTAATTTTAAAACTATCGTCCTTAGTTGAAAAACGTCCAATATACAATTATGTATCGCACAATTTTATACTTTAACCACCTTAACGTAAGGTTTATAATGAAATTAAATTATGATCTTATTATTAATGATTTGACTAGCTTATTAGCTTGTGTCCGTTGTTACGCTCGTATTTGCTTTACTGTCTGTGTAGGGTGAGTTTTTTGTGGAGTTTGGTAAGTCAAGTATCGTCGCTTTAATTTGAGTCTTATGTCAATGGTAAAGAGCTGATATTACATTGTATTTAAGCCACATTGCTTATCGCTTCTTTGGTATCAAAGTCGTGATATTTATATGTAAATATTGCGTAATTGACACTCGAAGAAGAAGTTTATTTTTTTTTAGTTCTCGTTTGCCTCTATATAATACATACACTGTGTCCCGTTTAGATCTATGTTCCTATATCACAAAATATCAGCCTAAAATTGCCCACTGCTAAGAAAAGACCTCTTCTCACACGGAGAAGGTTTGGGCATGAATAGAAAACAATAATTTATGTAATTTACTATCAGACCCAGCCTCGCGTTGCTGTGGCTAAGGTAAATAATATTGTGACTATAAATTGAGATGTAAGCTATCCTATCTTTTAAGTTGGTTCAAAATGCACACGGAATGCAAATCAAATTTAAAATCGGTTTAGTAGTTTAGGAGTCCATCGCGGACAAACACGTGACACGAAATTTTTATTTATAAAGATAAGTCCAGGTTTCCTCCAATATGGCTAGTTCAAATTACAATGTTTGTTAACGTTAATCACCGCTAAGTGGCGCTGCTCTTGAGTAAGGATCCTAACTCAATAGTTTTTTCAACATCATCATATTGGTATATGATTCGATAGACTTGTCTTTATTCTATAGTGGCGCCGATTAGTGAGAACTTTTTCGACAAAAGTCTGTTAAGGACCGATTTTTTAATAGTCAGATAAATGTTATCTAAGGAATAAAATTGTTGCTATCACTGTCTTATACAAACATTCTGACGCGACAGCATCATAATTATTCCCCAGGTAACTTTTATCTAACCATTGAAAAAACAGCCCTTAATCTAACTTAAACGCCTCTCATTGGTTAAGGATATTAACTGTGGACTCTTTAATTTCATATTTGCCAACAATACAACAAATTAAAAAAAAAATACGTTACTTACCAAACTTCACAAAACAGTAAATGATCTGTTATATATATAAAATAAATAAATAAAAAATATAATAATAAATAAATAAATTATATATAATATAAATATATAAACAGCAATAAGAAGTGCATTTATATTATAGAGGTGCCTTTGTATTTGTGTCTCGTTTTTAAATTATTAATTATTGTAATATTGTTAGCTTTTATTATTATTATTTATTTTATCATCATCATCATCATCGGCCGCGGAACGCAATATAGATTATATATTTTTTTTTTGCATCTAAGATGTAATACGCCTTATTTTATTAATTTACTTATTTCAAATTTTCTTAGGGCTGATTTTTCAATGGTCAGATAAAAGTTACCTGGTGAATAATAATTATGATGCTGTCGCGTCAGAATGTTTGTATAAGACAGTGACAGCAACAGTTTTATTCCTCATATAACATTTATCTGACTATTGAAAAGTCATAGTCACTGTCAAGTCATTTGATTTGGTTGAGAAATGTTCATAATAATGTATATTAATTAATTGATTTAGAAAGCGGTACTCTTGGACAAGGCTATTATTGTCAGGAAGTTCCTATCTCTAGAGCCTGTAAGAACTTGTTCCCGATACCGGTGGGACATAACTTTTTAATGTATTTTATATTAATAAAATATATCGTGTGCAATTTTTTTCTGAATTATAATGATATCTTGTTGGGCGATAGCGGCCGACGCTAGTCGAACCGGAAAAGTCACATTTGTACTTGCCAAGTTTCAAACCCACTCAGTCATGTATGAGAGGCGGGCGCCTGAACCTCTGTACCACAACGTCCACAACAACTAAAAAGGTTTAAAGAATTTAAAGAGATTTTATTCTTTTTTACATTATCTTTAGTTTTTTGGATTAATAATAGTTTGAAAATTAACTAGTTATTTTGTCTGTTAGTACGTGGCCGATTAATATACATATACATTCTAAATATGTAGGCGTGAGTCGTATTTGTACATTTGTTGTCGCATAGTTTAAGTTTTTTAATGTAAAGGGTGTTGTTTTTTTCACTAGTGAGTCACATCTGTCTTCTTGTTTTAACACGTTTTTTTGCATGTCTTTTAGTTGAAACAATACGTGTTGCAATTTCAACATGCATACATCCGCTATTTAAAACAAATAATTATGTACTGTAGATATGAACCTTCTTTCCCTACACTAAAATAAATGAAAGTATTTTTTATTCAAGATTGTGAGCATAGGTAAATAATACATAGCATTAATTAAAAAAATAGTTACTTGGTATGAAAAATATTGTTTAATTTTAACTTAAAACAGTAGTAAATGAATCAGTTTATATACATTTTACTGAAAACAACACCCTATATGTTTCCATAAAAAGCTTATGTATAGTTTAATATATTATCTCATTTCATTCCCATACTAGTCATTGCTGTGAATTCATACATTTATTTAAAATAATAATTATACATACTAACATAAATAATTTATATTTTTTAATCTACATTTGTCAAGAGATTTTTATTCATATTTTAGTTTCGTACTTGTCGTTTAGGTACAAGTTCTATTTAACATATTATTATGCTACCTCGTTTTTCGTGCAAGGTGTCAGGTTCGATTCTCGACTCTTAACAAAGTATTATTGCGAAAATTCCCAATATATAGAGTCTGGAATGGTACCCATACGGGAATGGGCTTATCACCTAAAACATGGCAATTATATTATAATTGGTGGAAAATTTAAGTTATATTATATACCTGGACCTCTGCCTATCCCATTTCTGGGTGCGTCATGTGAAGTCAATTTGAATGTGTCAACTATTAACAATAAGTGCCAAAACAATGTCATTCACGAACTTAATTGCCTTCATATATTTAACGTAAGTTTCATATTTCAAATTTACCAAATTTCAACTCTAAATTTAAAAGTTGTAAGTTTATTTTCCTATGCCAATGTTTGTTAAAGAGGTTTTACGTGATTATAACGACGTAAAGTTTCACTGACAGTCATTAAACAAAAATCTACCCTATTTGTTAAGAATTAACAGTCAAATCCGCTTTTTAGTAACAGTATTTAAAAACGAGCTCTTTTATACTTATGCGTGTTGTGTGAAATGAACTCTATGGCTTTGGTTTAATGTTCATTATTGCCTTGTCAAGTGCCAATAATAATTTCCATTTGTTTAAGCTATTCATAAAACAGAACGC